TTACATCGTGCGCTTCCCGAGACGGCGGACCGGGGTTTGTAACTTTCCTCTCGGGATTTGGGACTAAGGGCTAGAGGGTGCATTGAGAAAATGGAATACAGTAAATCTCCCGAGATAGAGCTCTTCTACCCCCCTGTGGCCTCCAGGAAGTTAATAAGCCAGTTGTGGTGGGTGTTGGATGACGGTATTGGAGGTATTTTTGGGGAGTGGAAGGGTACAAAAATACTAGCCACCGTGTATTATGTCAACCCTCGCAACAGTCTTCCCTGAGGTAGGTACCGGTAGCGATCCCATTCCTTAGAAGAGGAGCCGAGATGCAGAGGCCCGCACGGTGTCCCAGGCCGGCGGCCACTAGGGGGGGTGAGGAAGTTTGGGCCGAACTGCGGTCCTGGAGACCGGGGGCGCCGCTGAGGCGCGCGGGGCCTCCGCGTCCGCTGAGGCGCGGGGGCGGGTCCCAGCCGCCGCCAGGCCCCCAGCGCGGCCCTGGCTGCCCCTCGCGTCCTTCAGCGCGCGCGGCCGGCGACGGCGCTGGGCGGGCGGCCCGCGTCCGCTCCCCGCGCTCGCGCCTGCCGCCCGGAGCGCCGCGGTCCTCGCCTCCGTGTGCTGTGGGCCCGGCGTCCCGTGTTTCCCACCCAGGTTGGCCGTCTTCCTACCCGGCCTTCGCAGGCGCAGGGTCGGGGCGCGGCAGGACGGTTGTGGCTCTGCCTCCAAACGGAAAGGTCTGTTCTCTGAGCATTAATTCAGGATTATTTTGCTACCGTTAAGAAGGATAATTAAATTGGCAAGAGTGAGGAGAAGGAGCTCTCTTATACTCTTCTGCTGGGAATGGGAATTGGTAAACAAGGTAATGCAAAATGTTAACTATGCATTCCCTTTGACACACAAATTATACCTCTGGGAATTTGTGCTAAGGAAAGAAGATGGATGTAGCAGGACTGTTACAATGGTGACAATTTGGAAAAAACTGAAGCGTCATCAATAGGATAAGGTAATTAAACTGTGGTACACCCATACTTAAAAGTACTATGCTGTGAAATATTAAAGTTAAAATTAATGTTTAAAAACACTTTACTACTAAAATAGGAATTATTAGAATACTACTCTATATAATACTAATTAAAATTTTAAACTTAAAATTACTACTCTATATGGAAAACTGTATGGTATTATCTATTTTTCTAAGTATGTATTTATATTTACACAGAAAAAAGTCTTTAAGGATACCTTTCAAAATTTCAAGGGCGACTTTTCACTTTCTTTGCATATTGTCTGCCGTTTTAAAAAAAATATGTTTTACATTTACAGTCAGAAAGGGCAGCTATGTTTTTAAAAGTTACTTGTAAGGAATTAAAAACATATAACGCTAAGTTTAAAAACAGCATAAAAGTATTACATCGTAACTCATTACATAAGTGAACAAGAATATGGACCAAGACTGGAAAAAAACAGTAAAGAAAAACAAGGAATTGAATATATATATTCAATTCAAATATACTCTCCTGCCCCAAATAATACCTACAATTCAGAAGGGGGAAAAAAGCGTCAGAACCTCAAGGTTTATCCGTCCCTGCCCATTCCTTCACTCCGCTTCACCCCTTCTTTTCCTTCCCAGAGCCTTCAGCAAGTCCTAGACTCTGGTTGCCTGCCCTATTCCCATAACAGTTTCTTACCAACCTTAGGGAGTAACCTGAAGAGACAGTTGAACCTGTCAGCAGCCAGGAATTAATGGCTCCATATTCAACCATTAACTAAGACAAAACAAAAATCCATTGCCTTTAGGAAACATCCTTCAGAATTCAATTAGTCAGTGTAAAATGACTCTACAGGGCAAGTCAACTCATTCAACAGAGTTATTCCTCCAATGTTAAATTTGAAAACCCTATGTACCATGTACTTCAGGCAGGTGGGGTGGGGGTGGAGATGGTGGGGGTGTTAATTTGACCACCCTCCACTTTATGCAGGCTGGCATGTTCCTTGATGGGACCAGCCAGTTCTCATCATGTCTCAGTCTTATCCCCAGTGCACATGGTAGAGCTCACAAAATTCTTGTTGTGTGCCCTGACTTCAGTGGATAAAGCCACTCCAAGGCCACTAGAGCTTGAATTACTGTGAAAGGCAGAATCTCTTAACACGGGACGGGCTTGAGGGAATCAACAACCCCTTTAAAATTCTTAACTAGCAAATTGTATTTGAGGACCATAGTCTTCATCAGATAATTGAGACATCTGTGGCCTCAAAGAAGTTAGGAACTGATAAGGGTGTGAACCTTCCCAACAGTGGCTTCTCAGATGGGTTTTTATATCTGATTTCATTGAAGCCTCAAATGGAAATAGTGTGAGAAATGCCAGGAAGACTAACGAGTCTGGAGAGAAACAAGTGGAGGAAGAAGGCCTGGGAGTATTAGGACTAACTAACCATATCCCAGACCCAACCCAAGAAACCAGGGACTAAGCAGAAGACCAATGAGATCCTTGACAATGCCCAGTACTTCTGAAGGACTGCATCCCTTGCCAACAGCCTACATCCAGCCCTCACCCAGCGGAAAGGACGCATTCTCCTAATAAAGGATAAGAGCTGTCAGGACAGGGCCTGCAGGTGGGAGGCCTTTCTCTTCCCTATCTGGCAGGACCCAGGCCCATTTCTACGTGCCGGAGCATCTCTTCAGCTCTTCTCCTCTTAAAATAGTTCTCAAAAATGTTTGGTATTTTTTTCTTCACTCCTATCTGATATTTACTGTAGTTTTCTATTTAATGGAGGCTTGGTTTAATTTCACTTTTTTTTTTTAGCAATGTTTTAATTTGGGCCTCATGTACTCTAAAAATAACTTGTCAGGCTATCAAAATAACACTGCAGAATGGCATCCTCAGAACTTCAGAGCATGTTTCAAAACAGTTAAATATATGCAAGCTTCTGTGTTCCTGTCAAATTGCTGGGCCTAATGATTTCCACTCATCTGTCTCTGAAAGGTGTTCTTTCCTCAGATGGGATTCAGGCTGATGAGCAGGAGAGGATTGTACTGGCAATGAATATTGAAGCTAGGAAGGATTTTGGAGAGAAAAAAATGTCACCTCCAAATTTGTAACATATTCCCCTCAAAGGTCTTACTCTTGCCTCCTTTCTTCCAGGGCACCCTATTTGTCCTTGCCTTCATGCCTAGATTTGGTGGTGCTGGCGACTAATACCAGGTTTTGCAGACAGAAAAATCATCTCACCTCAGACATGCAGAATCAGAATCTCCCATGAGGGCATGGAATCAGCATTTTGATAGATGTCCCAGGCAATTCTTATCATCAGGCAAACTTGGAAGATGCTGGTATGGTAAGTTGAATTCCACACTGGCCCTTGTTTGAGTCCAGTTGGGTAAATTTTAGACTTTCCAGTGTTGTAGTAGAGCCAGCTCTAACAACAGGCTCACTAGAACTGATTATTATTACATTTTCAGGACTTTTGCCAGCTATTTGTTGAACACAGACATTATTAAATGATACTGCAAGCAGGGACTCAAACAGCTACTTGTGTACTAATGTTCATAGCAGCATTATTCCCAATAGCCAAAAGGTGAAAACAGCCCAAATGTCCATCAATGTAGGAATGGATAAACAAAATGTGGTGTATACATCCAAAAGAATTTTATTCAGCCATAATGAAATAAGTCAGGTACAAAAGAACAAGTATTGCATTACTCCACTCATATTAAATATCTAGCATAGGAAAATTTACAGAGACCAAAGATAGAAGTTACTAGTGTCTGGGAGGAAGGAAGAATAGTTATAGAATTTCTGTTTGGGATGATGAAAAAGTTCTGGAAGTAGATAGTGGTGATGCCACTGAATTGTACACGTAAAAATGGTTAAAGTGGTAAATTTTATGTTACGCATATTTTACTACAATAAAAAGTTAAGTAAAAATAAAATATCAACATAATTAAAAAGTTAAATTGGAAAAAATAATAATACTCAAAACTCAACACTTCCTGATTATTTTTCTACCTTTTACAATTATCTTTGCTCTTGAGGTTATTCATGCCTATTGTCTCTTTATGGTGGAAACACTACGTGATGCTGTGCCACTGGGCATTTCTTCCCAGCTCCACATTCAGCAACGTCCTGCTGGTAGCTGGATATTGGCTGCAGTGGGAGTATTTACATAACAGAAATCAAACCCACTACAAATCAGGATCTTCTCCCCACCAAACTGTTTGTTCAGCATTTATGAGCACACCATTGTCTCTAAGCCATAATTTCCTCAGTGATAACAAGGAAGTAACAAAACCTACCTCACAGAGTTTCTTTGAGGATTAAATCAAGATAATTCACTATGTGAGGTAATGGACATTAACTAAACTTATTGTGGTAATCATTTCTCAAAATAGACATATATCAAATCATTATGTTGTACAACTTAGTCAATAAAAAAATAAAATAAAAATTTTAAAGACTGTTCAGGTGAAAGGGCTCATCAGTGTGCCTGCTACATAGTGTTTGACCAGTGTTCTCTTGTACTAGAGACCATGAGCTCCTCTAGGGCAGAATCCTGCTTAAGTTAGTCTTCTATCCTCCAAATCTTGGTTATAGGGGCTCAATACATGTTGAATTGAATAAATTAATGGGTGGAGAGAATGTTATGATCCTAACAGCTAGTACCAGTTACTTTTACTACTTTTACTAATTACTTTTAGGAAAGGAAATGACTTCATAAGCTGCTGGGGCAGATGATGAGATCTGAGGGCAAGGCAGGAATCTTATCACAAAAAGAGATAGCAAAGCTACTTTGAAAGAGAAAACAAGAGGAATTTGGCCTTTGTTTTTGTTTTTGATCTAAAAAAGGATGTCAGAAGGAAGGTTGGGGGGGCACTGCAGAGACAGAAACCAGCAAAATAGATGATGCAGGGCTGGGTCACCATGGAGGTGAGTTGGAGTTTGGGTAGGATGGAGCCTATACTTCCAGTAAGACATCCCTAGGAAAGGGCGGCTGAAAGGATAAATATGGATTATATTAGTTTGCTTTGAGGTATGGGATGCACCTCTTTATTATAACCCCATCATGTCTACTCTACTCAACAGTTTTGAATTTATGTTTGTCTTGCAGTGAGTTGAATGAAGAAAGAAATTGAGCTTTCCTATTTTGAGTCCAGGCTGCCAGTGAGAGAGAAAGGGACAGCAACAAGGTAAGTAAGGTACAGAAGAAAATATGTGGCAGAGGCAAGAGATTCAATCAAAAGGAAACACCATGGTGACAAAAGTTACTGGGAATTTGGAGAAACCTTGAGAAGCAGTTCGGACTTCCATGGTCTATAGATTGGAGATCTGGATACATTTTCTCTAGAATTTAAAGATCTGGAAGATTTCAGCTGTCAGTGGATTACATTTAATTATGTTGAAATTTTTAGAGCTATGTAATGTTCCATTGCTTGACTAGAGGATTAGACTTTGAGACGATTCTTTGTCTTTTTGGACTCTAAAGAAAATTCCTAAATCCTGCTGGAATTAGGAATGTTCTGGGTAAATTCATAACATCTAAGGCCCTTATAGTGTCAGATTACCCTGATCTCTTAGGAGATGGTTTTTGATACCCAATAAAATCTGAGCTATCCAAAGAATAAAGTAGGAAAAAGGAATGGTATGAACTTTACAGTGGAGAAGTCTGGTAGACACTACATTACCCTTGTGATGAAGGTCAGCATTATCAGTGATGTCTTGTGGGTATCACGTACCCCCAGATATGATGTGTGATGAGAAAGGCACTACATCTCTGCAGTATTCTTTCACAAAACCCATAACCTCAGTCTATCATGAGAAAAACATCAGACAAGCCCGGACTGGGAGACATGCCACAGGATTTGGCCAGTGCTCCTCAAGATTGTCAAGGTCATGAGAAACAAGGAAAGACCAAGAAATTGTCACAAACTAGAGAAAACTAGGGACATGTGACAACTGATGCAGTGTGGTACTCTGAGTTGGATCCTGGAGCAAAGAGTGCGCGTTAATGAAAAATGGGAAACCCAAGTAAAGCCTGGAGTTTAGATAATACTAATAGTACTAATACTAATACTAATAATATTCATATATGTTAATATTTGTTAATGTATCCTGTTAATAGAATATGTTAACAATGGTGGGAGTAAGGAGTATACAGGAACTCCCTATACAATCCGTGCACTTTTCTGTAAATCTAAAAGTATTTCCAAATAAAAACCTTGTTTTAAAAAAAAATCTGAATTACACAGCCTCTGGTTTGATCAGGGAACCTACATATCCTTATGTTCTGAGCTTTTCTGCTTAAGGAAATATAATTATATGGTATATTTAAGCCACTTGGCAGAATGTCCAAGGAATCCTCATTTATCCCCATTGGCAAAGAAACAATAACACTTTTTCTCTGGGTTCTGCTAGTCCACAAAAAAAAGATGCATTTGGGAACCTGGAATTCTCCCTTAAGCTGTTTGAGTGGCATTAAACCTGGCTTCATTTCCAGGCCTGCACTCTAGGATCAATTATCCATGGCTGCCTCATTGGTGCAACAGTAATATACTGAGATGGAGTGCACCTCAGTACAGAGCTCTGCCCTGAGTAGTTGCATAAGAAAGGAAAACAGATACAAGGGAAAGAAGCAAGCTTGTACCATCTGGAAGGAGTTTATAGTTAATGGAAAGTATCATAACTGCATTGAAAGCCATCAGGTTGTTAAAAGTAGGTGACATCTCCATAAATGCAAAGTCCTGCTTCAGGTTGAATCCAAAGGGTTGTGAGAAGCAGAGCATAGAGGTTGAGAAATGTTAGGCCTGAATGCTTTACTAAAGTAAATAATTTATAGGCCAAATTTGACAGATTGGCAAGGACAGATTAACATTTCTGTCTGTGGAAGGAATAGCGTTGGCAAAGTCATGGAGATGGTGAGAGGGAAAAATTGTGTGAAAGAAAGGGATCACAGATCTCACTAGCTTGACTGAAGTGGAGAAGCCAGATTAGACAGAAGAAATGAGAATGTCAAGGGCAGCATCTTTGGTTTTATCTACAGATAGTGAGCCACATGAGTTAGAGAAGAAAAATGGGCTAGGGAAGAAGAAGGGAACAGAATGAACACTCAAAAGGGCATGGCAACGTGGGGTGTTTGAATTTCTCCACCAGTTGGTTTCAGGGAAAGCAGTTTCTCACCTGTGAAAGAGAGCAAGACTGTGTTTATAGAATTAGCTTGTGTACCTTGAACAAAGTAGAGAACTCATTTACCAAATACATACTGAGCACTGGCACTGTGCCAACTACTATGCTAAACCCTGGGGATATAGAAGTGAAGGAAACAGACCCAGTCTCTGCCCTTGGGGAGCTTACTGTCTAATGTCTAAAATTTGGAAATCGTAATTACATAATTATAATTTATAAAGAATTTACTTCAATAAAGTTGATTTTTGAAAACAAAAAAAATCCCATGAAACAGATATACATACCAAAATAATTATTGCTTTTTAAAATTAATCAAATTTGTTTTTTATTGAAATGTAATTGAGATACAACACTATTATTAGTTTCAGGTATGGTTATTGAATTTTATATAGGAGAAACTTCTTCCAGGATATATGATAATCTTGGTCCCTATTAAGGATTTAGCCCTTTGAAGATATTTTTGGTCAGCAGGTCCTCTTGTTATAGCTGTCCTTATACTTGATGTCACACTTGTCACTATAGATACAGATTTCTGGGAGTACTTGACTGTTGTCTTTATCCATCTGTAAAATGGAGATAATAATAACATATACCTCATAGGGCTCTTGTGATTAAATAATTTAATAATGTATGTGAAAGGGCCTAAAACCAGTGTCTGACATGTATGAGCTCAACAAATGGTAGCAATTATTATTAAATTGTTTAAAGTAAGAGGATTTTCCTTGATAGTATGTTTCATAAATGAAGTTTTTGTACATCTTTGGTATGGTTAATACTTTGTAGGTCACAACACTTTCAATGTAGGTCCAAGTATTTCAGAATAATCAACTCTGAATGAATAAAATGATATATGTGATGGCCATGAATAAATTTATTAAGTGAACAGCATGTGCCTTTTAAACTGGGAGTCTTACTAGTATTATTCTTTGTTTGGGAATTGTGATACTGTGACTAAAAAGACCCACTTTCTATTTAAGTGTTCTTTTCAGACTAGAAACATGAGAAGGTTATTTCTCAGCAGCCACTATTTTTAAAGTTGGTACTCTGAGAGTACAGTGGTGGTGCTTCAAGGGAGCTAATCCCAGTCTCTCTTGCTACTAGAAGGCTTCTTCTACAATTTCTCTAAATGCCAAGCCACACTTACAGATGCCTTTAGTGTGGTAGATAACACAAAGACCATTGAAAAGCTGACTTTCAGAACAGCCAAATCTCCTCTCTCAAAGAGGGATCTTTCCCAGATCTTTAAGGAAATCAGATATGGAGTCATGGAGGCTGAAGTGTGGGAGGTGATGGTCTCTTCTTTTAGGCATCTGGGCAAAAGAACTAAAGAGTCTTCTCTCAGCCCCCAAAAGTTATACAAAGGTCAAATTAGGGATTTACCCCTGGAATGAAAAGTATCAAACTATTAATGCTCAGCACCTCTTCCAAGTGCATCACATTTTTACAAACTTTTTACTTGGAAATAATTTCAGGCTTACAGAAAAGTTGCAAAAATAAGAATAGTACAAAGAGTACTCTCATATACTTTACTCAGATTTATATATTGTTAACATTTTAATCAAAGTGTTTTATCATTTGCATTTTCCCTTCCATTCTCTCTCTTTATAGATATATCAAGATATATATATGCACACACAAACATATACATATATGTGTACATACAATACACACACAAAATACACGTATGTATACATAAAATACATACATACATATATATATGTGTGTGTATATATATATATATATATCTTCTATTATATCTCATTCATTGAAACAGTCACAAAGTTCTTCTTAGACTCGAGTGGGGCAAGTTCCCAGAAATGTGTGTGTTATATATGTGTGTACACATATTTTTTTTTCTGAACCATTTAAAAGTGTTTCATATGTCATGTCCCTTCCCCCTAAATAACCTCAGTGTCTATTTAGTAAGAACATATGTTCCTGTCAAGAAATACTGTACAGCATTTGAGCCTCATTCACACCTGGACTTGATTTAGATGATGAGATCCTAGACTCTTAGCTTTAACCTAATGTCAAAATGGGAATTTTGGAGAAAAGGGTGAATGTGTATTGCATAAGGAAGGAATGCAAATTGTTGTCACTAGGGGGCAGACTGTAGCACTGCAATATTTCTGCAAACTGTTTCCTCTCAACTTGAACCTGGACAGAGCTTTGTAACCCCTTCAGTGACTGGAATGCAACAGAAGTGACATTGCATTCTGTCTAAGGTTAGGTCCTAAAAGGCAATACAGCTTAAGCTGCGCCCTCTCTCTCTCTCTCTCTCTCTCTCTCTCTCTGTCTCTCTCTCTTCCCCTTCACCTTTGGAACCTAGTCACAATGTTGTGAGGAAAGAGGAATCACATGTAATGTGTAGTTGTTTCAGCCAACAGCCAGCAACAACTGCCAGGCATGTGAGTGACTATGAGTGAGCCTTCAGAAGATTACAGTTTCTCACTTTCAAGCCATTGCAGATAACACTAAATGAAACAGGTTGGCTCTCTCCATGGAAGCTTGCCCAAAGTGCAGATTTGTGAGCAAAATAAATGTTTCATTGTTTTATGCCACTAAGTTTTGGGGGTAATTTCTTGTGTGGCAGTAATAACCAGTACCACATACAGTAGCATATGTACACTCACTTGTGTAAACAAAGATCTGTCTTCTAAAATGTAATTCCAATTAGTACTGTAGTGTAGTTCAGAAGAATGAAGAAGTAAATTTAAGATCAGTGAAGGATGTGTGTTGATCATTGAGAAAATTTTTATATTAATGTTTGTAATAATACAAGATTGGATGCAATTAATAAATGCAGAGTGACCTATTAACTAGAATTTAACCCTGCCCACTTTTATTTTTGTTCCATTTCCACAGAAACTAGAAGATCTGGGTTACTTTAGGACCCTTTTTTTTTAAAGGTTGCCTATGACACTAGTACATAGTCTGAGCTACTAATGAAGAGAGAGTCTGTCTGGGTGGGGGAAATTTGAAGACCTTTCCCTATGGATTTCTGGGGACAATCTTTGTATCTATTGGCTACTCCCTTAGACTTTTGCATGAATTAATTGGGATATCAGTATTATTTATTAATGTACACAAAAATGTGGGCCTCAGCAATCTCTTTTGAGTGACATTCAAGCTGACGTTCATGCATAGGTAGAAATCTACTATTAATGATCATACTTTAGCCTTAATCATTCTTTTAGAATAAATTTTAAGGGTGTCTAAATTCCCCAGCTCAAAGAAATCACAGCAAAATAGACATCTGACAAAAACCAACTACAATCTTAAAATCTACCTGAAAGCATTCCTCAAATGCTTATAATTCTTACCAAGTGTTAAAAGTGAGAACTATTACCTTGCTAGTTAATAATGGATTCTGATTTTCAGTTGTTTTAATAGCCAGATCTGTTTTGACAAAAGGCATTTCTGATGAGGCAGAGCTTCTTTAGATCTCTGTGCCTTTTTTACACACTTTTCTTTTTTCTTGGCATGCCCTTTCCTCTTCTTTACTTTACTGCCTGCTGGCTCCACCTTCTCAGTCTTCTTGCTAGTTCCTCATCTCAGAACTTTCAATGTCACAAGCCCCAGTTACTTTGGGAGTGGGTCGTGTCCTTAGAGATCTCATCCAATCTCATGACTTTAAATACCATCAGTCTCTAGTAACTTCTCAGTATTTCTCTCCAGCCTGAACCTTTCCTAACTTCAAATATTTAACTACTCAGCATTTTCACTTGAATGTCTAATAGGCATCACAAATGTAATAGGTACAAATCTGAGCTCCTTATGTTGTCCCCCAAACCTACTTCACCTCAATGAATAGCAGTTCCATCCTCCTAGTCACTTAGGCCACCAACTTTAGAGTCATCCTTGCATACTCCCTCAGATATCCCAATGCAATCTATCAATAAATCCTGGTTGAGTCTTCCTTCAAATATTATCCTGGGCCCAACCTCTCACCCGTTTACCCTCCCTGCCTAGCTATCTGCAGTAGCCTAATTTTGGTCTCCCTATGTTTACACTGTCGTCATCTCTTCTCACCCAAGTCCATGTTCAGCCATCAGAGA